ACGGTGATATAAAAATTGCATCGAACGGAGGCCGGGAAGGACCTCGTCGGAGGCAAAAACCGAGAGGGGCGCGGCGGCGCCGCTGGGTTTCGGCCGCGTATTCCGGCCGTTTGGCCGGGATTTCGGCCTCAATTTGGCCATAGAAGGAATCAGCGGAGAAAAACGAGTCGGAGGTATGAAATTTACCTCGATCGGCGGTCGGAAATTTCCCCGGTGCGGCGGCGGGTGGCGGCGGTCGGCCTCTGGTTCGTCTTCTCCAGCGAGCGGCGGGCAGCTAGGGTTTGTGGTCTGGTGTGGGGGTTCTATTTATAACCCCTTGCCTTTTGATCACAGCCGTTCATTTCGTTTTAATCTGGGCCGTTCGTTTTTGATTGAATCTGGGCCGTCCGTGCGATTGAATCTGGGTCGTCCGATCGCGCGATTGATCTGGGCCGTCGGATCGCACCCACACGGATCGCCAACGTGGCTCCTTTCGGAGTGACGCGGTCTTGCCACGTGGCAGGCCCCGGTTGGCCGGGACTGCTGACCGGGCCTGCTGATGTGGCTGCTGACGTGGCCCCCCCGTTTTTTTTTTTTTTTTTTTCCTTTCCGGGTGCTACACAAAGTCACATCGTGTACTCTATTTATTTGAGTTATAGGATTAGATGCTAGCAACAATACAAACAAAAAACAAGAGCAAGTTTTTTGGAGTTTTATCGCCATTTCTATCAAATTATTGATTTGGATTAATCAAATATATGAATCATCTCCTCATTATATAGAAGAAGTAATTAACCCATATGTTCTTACAAAAATACATTTGGGAAAAAAATTGTTACTATATTTTTTTAACCAATTTCACTTTGTTGGCTAATTTTAACTATACCTAAAAATTTAAATCTTACATTAATTATAGAACTTATTAAAATTACACAAGCCTAAGTTTTCTTACATTTTAAAGTTTTGTATTTGAGATTTAATATTTATTCATAAAGAATATTGATCTTATTTAAAAATCTAAATGGAATATAATTTTTCACATTTAACTTTATAGTATTAATTAATATTATCCTTTTTATAATGTTTAAATCTTCTAAAAGGACCTTAATTTATATTCACATAAAATTCTAAATGCAATAATTAAAAATTAGTGGATTTATAATCATTTAAAAATTCGCCGACGGTAATGTTTTCCCATTTCTAGCGGGCACGGGTAGTTTCGCGTGCATTTGCACTTAACGACGGCTAATCAAATGCTAATTGAGCGAGTACATCTCACGCGCCACGAGGGGGAGATACAAAATTGGACGGTGGGGATAGGAAGATGCTCTCCCATGTGATGGGTGTCTTTTGCATGTAGCGCTTTACACGTCGGAATTTCTCGCTGGGTAATGGCATCGACGTTGCCTGAGTTTTCACGTGTCTGTGGGCCCACGATCGTCTTTACGCATCCTGCGAGGGTGCATCACGGTTGATGGACGGCTCAACCACCGTACTTGCTTCCATGCATTTAATATTTCTCATGCAATGTGATTTCTCCGGTACATCGAATATACCGTGCTCGTATTTACACCGGAGTTTTTCCCCAAAATTTTTTTTTTTTTCTCGGATGGGTGATTGTATTAAAATATTTTTTTAGCCAACAGTATTAATTAAATTATATATTTTTATTTTTTCCTTTAAATGTCAATGTCTATATATTAAAAAAATTAATTTTTTATATGCGCCAATATGGTATTGTGGGTTTACGTAATTAATTCATTTTTTTTTTTTACAAAAATACATAAATATTATAATTAATTAAAAAATAACATATATATACATAAATATTATAAATAAATTGTTGCTATTTTAGGTGGCATTCTGTTGGCAATGCCCGCTCTTGTCTGCATTGCGCTGTAAACGCCCAAAAACAACTGTCCCCGGAAAAAAACAAAAATTAATTAATACAAATCGAGTACTACGTCTGTGTGTTTTTCACTTTTTCATTTTTGTTTTTTTTTTTTCTTTCTTATGATTGTTTCATATATATATATATATATATATGTATATATGTGTGTGTAAATTTTTTTATAATTTTAATTATATAAACTTTATATACTCCTTTTAAAAAATGTATATGATATTGGGTTGAGCAGACTAAAAGATATTACGAATTAAGATCACAAATATCTCAATTTATTTAAAGATGTCAAATGAGTAGAAAATTCTATAAAAAATAGTTAATTTGATTTAAAATATTTGTTAAAAATTATTAAAGTAATTTAAAATATGTAAAATAAGTTTATGATTTATGGAGTTTTTTAATTCACTTGTGCTACTGAAATACATAATAACTTTTTCTTTATACATATATTCATATGTAGTGAAATAGTTTGTATAGTTTTAATTTATTATACTTTTTATGAATTACATGAATATAAAAAATAAGTTACGGATTAATCTTTAATATTATAATTTTACTACAGTAACTATGTAGAATTTTGATTTGATAATTAAAATTCATGATATGAATATTTTTTTATGTTACTTATAAAATTACATTGTTATTGATTTTGTATCAAATTAATTCATGTATTTTTAAAAAATGTTCGACTAACCCTTATATGTCATTAATATTTAACATTGTTAACATATAATGTCTATGTATGATTAATTTTTAAAATGTGACATAGGTTAGTCTATATATATTTATATTTATATTTTTTGTTCAAATGATACTAACATCTAAATAGATTAATAGCCAACAAAAAATTTAATATGTTAATATAAATTATACGTAACATAAGATATAACTAGTATTATAATAATAAAAAAAAAATTTCTCGTTTTTTTTCCTCAAAATTTGAGAATTAAAAAATTTATATTAATTATAACTTACTTCAGATTTCTAAAAAAATGTATGAAAAAAAACTTGAACGGTACGATCTCTCTGTTACTTCATAATAATAATAATAAATAATCTTGTAATTATTGATATGTGAAGATACATTGTTAAATGTTTTATTTTTATTTTTTTATTAAGACTGAAACTAAATATGTACTCGATAAATAATTATTTATACGTTAATAAAAAATATATAGATTATCGATAAAATAAGAGAAGCCGTGGTGGTCCCCTTTTAGATCGTGTGAATATAAGTAATAAAAAAAGATTAATTTAAATATTTTTTAAAAAATAAAATTTAATTAGATATAAAATTAAAAAAATAAATAAATGAAATAAAAATAAATAGTATAAATAATAAAATAATATGTTGTACATTCTTAAAAGAATATCATATCATGTATTGAGAATACGTCTCAATTTTTTCTTTTGTTTGCTCTCTTTTTTTTTTGTTTTTTTCCTTTTTCATTTATGGCAAATGATTCACGTTGTAAAAACAAATTAATTATTAAATTATTGTCAATGATTCATCAAATAAGAATAAAACAAATATCAAAATGAATGACAACAAAAATTCTGAAATTTGTGTGGCTTTTAACACATCTTTGTGCTTGTTTTTATACATATGCCCCCTTTTTATATATGTATATATATATATTCAATTTTCACATGTCACATTCAAGTTTGAAACCTCCTCTTCAATTATTGGATAGAACAAAACTATAATATCTATTAAGGTTAATATTAAAAATATAAAATTACCCATTTATCATATTTTTAACTCTAAGGTTAATATTAGAAATAAATTCAGAATTTATATAAAGTTTATTTTACAAAGTCAATATATGTTTTCATAACAAAAAATGTAAATTTATTAGGATATTATAGAAATTGGAATTTATTTACAACCCACGTAAAAACTCAATATTACCTGTATGAAAAAATAGGAAGCCAACCCAATGATGCAGATTAAGTACCTTAAAAATTTACAAAAAGGTAACAAGTAATTTTGGGTCAAATCAAAGCAACAGTAATTTTCTCTCTCTGTATATACATATATATATATATATATATATTCTAAAAGATTGTTTTGTTTTAACTAACCAACAACTATGAGTTGAAATACCCAACCAGCTGATTTTGATTAAAAAAAAAAAAAAAAACTATTCCACCCACAATCAATAATTATAACCTAAGTACAAGGTTAAAGCTTCGTAATTATTTAATTTTTTAATATATAAAATTAATACATATTAAGATGAATCAAAAAAATAAAAACATTTGATAATAAAAATAAAAAGGCATATAAGTACTTACCCATAAAGAAAAGGTTAAAAAGTAATAACTAATTTTTAATTCGCACGTGCAACTTTTCATATATATATATATATGTGTGTGTGTAAATATTAAGGGGTGGTCCTCATAGTGAGTTGCAAGAGGGAATTTGGCAGAACATAATGAGGTGAGTTGTGTGACTGAGAGGTGAAGCTAAATAGCTGTCGTTTCACAACGCTTTACATCTACTTTTTCGAGTTTGGCCCAAGTGGGTCACGTGCGTGTGGGGCCGCACCATGACTTCTCTTTTCAGTTTCATAGGCCCAGTTCTCCACTGAGCGAACTCGCTCCAATGGTCCAGACTCAGTATATATATATGGATTTTATGGCCTAAATAGATTCCTTTGGTATGGTCGTCATTAGAAATTTAAGAAGAGTAAAAAAAACAGAAAATTATTTTCCCATCAGCCAAACACACTCTTGAATATGAAGTCTATAGGAGAAAAAAAGAGAGAAAAAAACTAGTGCATAGTTGGTCTGCTTTATTATACTCTGCTCGAGTCCCTTATAATCCGATTCGACCGGATTCATTTGCCAAAATACTATTTAATATATTAAATATTGATCGTATACGAGTAAACATTATTTGATTTAGAGACAAAATTTAGATCGTAACATTTGATTTATTAAAAATTTTTTGATAGTTCAATAGTATAGATTTGGTCCATTTTGGACCAATGCTCACTCCTAAAGTATGATCTATGTTGTTTGGCCCAATTGACAAACGGGCAGATGGGCAGATTTTAGACGACGTCAGATATTTTTCGCCGTTATTTTACAAAACGACGTCGTTCGTTACCGGGATATATTTTATGTATCCATCTTTGAAAACGGTTGCTCATTTCCCTTTGTCCGTTGTTTCCCAAGGATCATGCTGGTGTCACTCCTCTCCTCCTCTTCTTCTTCTTCTTCTCTCATTCTCTGCGCATCACCTCCAAAACTTGGTAACTTCTGGCACAAACCAGTTTCTTGCGTGGATTTCAAAAAAATTCTCATGACTTTCCCTGTGTTTGCACTCTCTGCAAATTTACTTAAAGCTGTTATGTGCATTTTAACAATGGCGGCAATTCTTGTCTTGCTTCAGGATATTTCAATACAAGGAATCCAGCGTTATCCAGAACCGGGCCGTGTTATGCAACTGTAGACAAAACGCCGAGAAGAGTGACTTTCATGAGCAACAGCAATAATGGCAGCAGAAACGCGGTTGTTCCGCTCGGGGAAAAAAGGCTTTATCTAGGGATGGATTTTGGTACATCTGGAGCTAGGTTCGCTATCATTGACAAGGAGGGTGCAGTTCATGCTGAGGGGAAAAGAGAATATCCGTGTATTATGGTAAACTTGTCCTGTCTTATTTATCGCTCGAGTTCTTTACATATGCATATCTTTACATATTTTTGGTGCTTATTCCCTTTGCATGCAATTGATTGGTGGTAGCTTTAGAGGGAATTGGGATTTTAAATATATACAATTCAGCTCTTTAAATTCTTTATTTATATAAATCGCGCTGAGTTTGGCAGTATTAGCAATTGAATTTGGTTGTGGTATGTGGTGGATTGGTGAAATGGGTGTAGCAT